ATCCACACCGCACCCTACGCATGCCCCCCCTCCCTGGACCCCATCCCCATCCCCATCCCCATCCACCGCAACCGCCCATCCACACGTGGCCCCACAACCCCTGGGCCCCGCACCTTCATCTTGTCTATGTCTGACAGCAGCAGCTTCAGGGACTGATCCACGTCCAGGGCGTGGTCGCGTGCCCCCTTGCCCAGCTCCTGGCCCCGCCACGAAGCAGGCATTGCAAAAGTTTTGCGTGCGTGCTGGTGCACGTGATTTTGTAGGCAACCGTAGCAAGCGTAAACACGAGTGGGTGATTGAACGGCAACCCATACATATCGCATTGAGACGTGCGACCAATAATAGCAGGGACAGAGAGGAGCGCCCAGCGCTGCCGCCCCTTTTCCCCATGAAGCCCCGCAGCTTGCGGTGACGTCACCGCAATGGGACGAGCTCCATCCACCCCCTAACCTTGGCCATGACGGGGCAAAGCACCTCCTCCTCCGCATACAGGTGGATGCACAGCGCGCGCACCTGGCAACACGCAGTTTCAAAGGGGAGGTTGCGGGAAGTTGCCGGGCAGCTGCGCGCACTTTCTAGGGCGGGGTTGGGGGAGCAGCGTGCACCCTGAGGTTTTGGATCCCCTGGAGAGCTCTTCCAGGGCGCCTGCAGCCAGCTGCTCGCAACCTGCAGGGTCACCTGAGCCGGCTCGGCCCGACACCCACAGAGGCAGCTTCGACCCCGACACCCAGCCCCAAAACGCAAGGCCGGCCGCGAGGCTAAGAAGGCAGCAACACGTGTTGGTGCAACGGCCACGCTTTGTATGGTGCTTGCCAGCCAGGCACCCCGCCAAGCGCTTGGTCGCTCATTTCAAAACTGCTGTAAGACAGTAAGAGGCATGAGCTGCTGGCTGCTCACCATCTCCCAGATGACCATTTGGTGCTGCTCCTCTGTTAGGGAGGGGTCCTTGAAGCTGCGATACAGGCCCTGCGGTGGCACGCGCCATGGGGTGCCCACGGCAGCGACGGGGGGTCAATGCGGCCGGAGGCCTGGGGGCGGCGGCGCGCCCGCAGGCTTCGCTGGTGTGACGCGCAGCAGAGCACACACGGGCAGGTGTGAGCTGTGCGTGAGCTGGTTGGCCGCTTGCCTTGATCTTATCGTGGTCGTTGGCCAGCTGGGAGCACCATACGGTAGCCGCATGCGGGGTCGCCAGAGGGGATGACGGGTGAGTGCGACCGCCTCGCCGCACATGCCAGCACAGCAAGCCAGGGTGCGTGCGCCGGCGGGCCGTGGCGGACCTGCACCGTCACGTTGTGATCGTCCTCTTCCGGCCGATCCACATATTCCTCCACCGGCTCCCCGCCCTGTCGTGTTTCGGCCATGCTGATGACGTCCCCACGGGCGCTGTCACGAGATCGCAGGTGGGTGATACAAGCGTCTACAATAATCAGCTTGATGATCGTGATTGAATGTATACCAAGATTACACGGTTCTTAGCAAGTGTGCACGACATGACGGTGTCGCCCACTGGTAGGCACTGGGTGACACCTACGTCCTAACAGTTCCCTTCAACAAACGTAACGATCCAGCACAAAGCCGCAGAATCAATATCATGCTGCTCGCATACCTAGCCTGCAGCACGGCGCGCCTGGCGCCATCGCAGTCATGCCGCACCTGCGCCGCTGCCGCGCTGCGGTGCCTGTCGCGACAGGCTGGGCCTCATCGGCGAGGCCCCGACCTGCAGACCGACCAGAGCCTGAGTAGCTTGCTGGAGGGCGCGGCGGCGGCGCGATCGGGCCCCGTGGACGCAGCGGCGCTGATCGCAGCCTATAATGCTGCCCCCCCTGCTGACCGCGCCGCTTTCCTCTCGCGCCTCTCCAACCCGCCCCTCGGCTATGACGCCGCGGCCATCGACGCCGCGGCCGCAGAGTGGCGGCGCGTGCGGCAGGGCGCTGGCGGCGGCGTCCCTGCAGCTGCGGCTTTAGCTGTAGCGGAGCGGCTGCATGCGGCGGCGCGGCCTCCTTACACAGGGCTTGTGCTCGAGCAGCTGCTGCAGCATGAATCTGGTGCGACTGGCGGCTTTGGCTGCGATAATCCTGCCGCATCTCACCTGACATTCATACACCGCTCCTGCTGAGTATTGGACGCTGATGCGGGTCTTGGCGCCGGATCTTCAGCGTTGTCGCGTCCGCCCGATGATTGCTCGCAGGCGTTCCCTTCTTGGTGCGGCTGAGGGGCGACGTGTTGCAGCAGGTGCGCCAGCAGCGGCGGCAGCAGCAGCAGCAGCAGCAGCAGCAGCAGCAGCAGCAGCAGCAGCAGCAGCAGGAGCGGGCAGGCCCTGCCTTTACGACGCCACCCGACGTACTGTGGCTCGCGCGGCTGGAGCGAGACCTCAGGTGAACGGCCCCATGGCTCGGCGCGTTGCGTGACATCACTACATGACGTCAGCTGCCACCAATCCCGCCTCCTTCAGTGCAAAAATGCGACCAACCTCAATGGCAAAGCTGGGCAAACTCACCAACTACCGCCGCCACCGCTCGCGGCTGCGACAGCCCGCAATGTGTTTCAGGCTCTGCTGAAGCAACCCCCTGACATCTTCCACGATCCTGCTAACTGTGCTGCCGCATTGTGTGTACTAGTCGCAGCCAGCTAGGGCGGCCACCCCGCACGGACGCGGGGCGTCCTGTGCGCAGAAGCGGTGTTTGTATGAGGTATCTTGCGCGAGCAAGCGACGTGTGCGTGCCTCTCACCTTATCACGCCCTCGTGCCCCGCAGGCGGCTGCTGTCAATCGTCTTTGGGGGCGGCCTGCTGCGTCTGCGGCGCGCGACCTGGGACGGCAGCAGCGATGCCCTGAGGGTGCGCCCCTTCTCACCGCCGCACAGCTCAGGGGTCTGGGCCGGCTGCTCCAGTGTAGCTTCTTGGCAATCTGCCAACGCAGAAAAAGGGGAATGAGGCAAATCAACTGTTCGCATCGGAAGAAGCTCTTTTGCCCCTCATATCACATCAATACAACGCGCCCCCCCCCTCGCCCCTCCGCTCGCAGGCCCTCCTGGCGCGCGCGTCGGTGCACCCCTCGACCAGCCCAGCGGACCTCCGCCGGCGCCTCGACGGCCGGGGGCGCCGCTGCTTCGTCTTGGAGCACCCTGCCATGCCCTCAGACCAACCCCTGGTCGTCTTGCAAGTGACGCTGTGTGAATCCGTGCCCAGCGACATGCCGTCTATATTGACGCCGCCGCCTGATAACACCGCCGGCGACGACGACAGCAGCCGCGACGGCGGTCGCGGGGACAGCGGCGGCCGTGATGGCAGCAGTGGCGGCGGCGCCGGCGGCGCCGGCGCCTGGCGGGTCGCCTGCTTCTATTCCATCCAGTCTACGCAGCCGGGGCTGGCCGGGCTCGACCTCGGCCGCGAGACGATACTGCGCGCCGCGCAGGCGCTGACTGCGGAGTCACAGCGCGGGGCTGGGGCGGCGGACGCGGCGGCGGCCGTCGCGGCGGCGGAGCCTGGAGATGGGGACGCAGCGCCTCAAGCAGGAGAGGATGACGTAGTACTGGCGACCTTGTCTCCGATGCCAGGGTTTAGGGGGTGGCTCGAGGCGCGGCTGCAAGGGGCGGCGGATGGCGCCACATCTGCGGGGCAGGAGCGGGACAGCACAGGCCAAAGCTTGGACGCCATGCAGCTGCCGCCGCCACTCACACTGGCGGAGCGTGGGGCGCTGCAGCAGCTGCTTTCTCTGCGGCTGCCCTCGGCAGGGGATGCGGCAGCGGCTCTTGCAGAGTCTCGGCTGCTGCTGCTGCAGCTCGCGGCGGAGTACCTGGTAGTGTCGAAAAGCGGCAGCAGCACCGGCGGCGGCAGCGCGGCCGCACTGGACCCGGTCGCGCGCTTCCACTGCTCTAACGGCGCCGCCCTGCGGCGCATCAATTGGGGGTGCGCTCTGGCTGTGCGCGAGCCGGCTCAGATCCATCAGGCTTGACAATTTGCCGCGGAGCCACCCTCGCTCTGCCGCCTGGCACGGCCCACGTGACCAGTCGCACGCTCTTGCCCTGCACCCCCAGCCCAGCGCCTGCCACACCGCGCATCCCCGCGCCCTGCCACCGCCGCCTGGCCCCACCCGGCGGCTGTCGAGCCAACAGCGAATCCTCAGCGCCGCCGCCGCTCCCCTTCGCAGGGCTGACTTGTCGCCAGACGGCTGGCAGCGCAGCCTGGGGCTCATGGCCAACTACAGGTGTGGTGCTATCAAGCACTTCCCAAATCTCTGGCCATTTGGCCCGTGTTCAGGGCTGTCCACCTCTCAAAACCGTGTCTGTCAGCAAGACCGAACGCCGCCCCTGCCACGGCCGGCCTGCGTGCGGCAGACGTCAGCTGGCAGCGCCCCGACCCTGGCAGGTGCTGCCGGTCCCATCAATTTACGGCGCCGCGGACCCCCGCCCCGCCTCCACCCCGGGCAGCTACGACCTGGCGCGCCTGGAGGAGCGCGCCCGCTGGTACGCGGAGACGGGGCGGGTCGAGGCCGCGCCCGGCGTGCTGCAGCTGCTCGCAGGCGGCCGCAGCGGCAGCTGAGAGGGCGGAGGCCGAGATCTGTAGTATGCCGGGCTTTTCTCAGGCTGACCGGGTTTTCGGATTGCTGCCTGGCTTGCCTGCAGTCGGTGTTGCGTTGATGTGGTGGTTGCGTTTTTCAAGAACACTATCAACCCCACAGCGGCAGAGCTGCATGCTCGTAGAGGGTTCAACGCAACATATACATGCATTGCCGCAATACCCAGCACGCTCATTGATCCAGCTGTGTCGCGGATCAACTGATTTCTAGGCTGCATCACCTGCCAGCTGAGGTGAAACCAACCTGATCGGATGCTCTCATTGTTTCACACGAAACTTGATCTGCACCAACTTCTGCGCTCTGCATGCCAGACACGCCTCGCACATTGCCGCCAAGGCGAGGCTGCTTTGCTCTGCAGCACCACCGCCAAGGCGCCAAGACGATCGGTGGTGATAGATAGATGCTTGCGCAAAGACCCAATGTCGCGCATCTGCAACGGCTGTGTAACCTCCTTGCGCTGTTTTAACCGCGGCGTGCGCCACCCTCAGCCTCTCAAGCGGCAGACCGTCAGTTGCACGAACGTTAACTTGTGCCTTCCTTTGTTATTCGATCGGGGGGGATTTAGAGCACGCTTTTGCGTTTTGACATGCAACATTTGCATCCTGAACACCTAAAACGACTGCACAAACAGGGCTACTGGAGGGATCTGGGCACAGCCAACAGATACTTGCAGCCCCATGCACAAACAGGGGCGCATAAGAACGTGTTGAATGCTATACAAAAAAAGCAAGCAAAGGTTCCTAAACAACACCGACAACAAAAGCGCAGCCGGCTGCTAAGGATTTTGTATCAGGGGCAATAAAACCCACTTAGGCAGCAAAGGTGCCGCCACTACGTGTGCGCTTGTGTTGCGAGTCCACCTCACAGCAGCACCAGCATTGGGTGCTCCCAGCATATCTGCAAGTGAATCAATAAGAATGAATAAACAAGGATTTTATCTGAAAGGGTCCGATAAATGCTGTGAACTTGGTCGATAGAACGGAAACCGCCACTCAAAAAGTGTCGGCAAGCGCAGTACAGTACTTGCGTTGCCGCAACGACCAGCCGTCTGATTATTGTCAGTATGGCAGAGCACGCCGCGCACCGACACAATAATTGTTAGCACTTTTCAGAGCACCGATGGGCGATCAAAAGGGGCAAAGCATAACAGAGGCAGAGCACAGCAATTTACAGGCTGTTTTCAAGGAGATTTGTGACTGGTACGGGTTTTTTTGTCGTAGTATTGACAGCTCAGCAGGTGCCGCGCGTGTATTTGCTCCTGTCCTAGCCTGATTGAATTTATGTTGACAGTAGAGGATGAGTCAGAGGCAATGCAGGGTTGCGGATTGCTAGCAGGCCCCGTCAGCCGATGACGACACCTGAGGACCCCAGGCCTGACCAAGAGGGGTACTTGGTGGTGGGGCAGTAGGGCAGGGCCACGGAGCTGGCAGAGTCGATCTTGTCGATGCACTTCCAGCTGCCAGTGGCCGCCTCACAGTCAAAGAAGCCCATATTGCTGCGCACGCAGGTTGAGGAGTGGATCAGGGGGCTTGTGATAAGGCCAGCAAACCAGCGGAGCCCAAGGGATGGGCGATGCTCAAGGCGCGCAGCCACGCAAGGCCCCGCTGCAGCACATGTCCCGCCGCCGCCTGCTGTCAATGGGTGTGCTGCGCTGCATGTGCCTTGCGCACGCAGAAACGTTTGGCTCCATGTATCATGCGAACGAGCAGCCACTGCACACGGGTGCATAGCAAGTCACATGCGTGTTATGGCACTGCGAAATGGCAACCCCCCACCTGAGACCCTTATTGTTGGGGCAGATGGAGTTGATGCACTGCGTGAGGCAGGCTGGGTAGTCCAGCTTCACAGGGGTGCTGCCCGCAGGGTTCTTGGGGTTGTAGCTGGCCGTGCCCAGGGTGCAGCCACCCAGGGTGTAGGCGTTGCCGCCGTTGACAGTGAGCTCGGAGGGGTACACCCCGCACGTGAAGATGGTCGTGCCGCACCTGCGCTCAGGGCAGGGCCGCACGGGTACATATCTGGTGATTGAAGCTGAGTGACCGACGGCACTACTGGGCTTGCGGGCAGGTGCGATCACAACGCAGACAGATGCATGCGGCAGGGGAGCGGCGAGATGGGATAGGACGCACCCACTTCCATGCTGCTCTGCAGCAACTGCAATACGCACTTGGGCGCGCTTCAGCAGGCCCATACCCTCCACGAAACCTTGCCGCAGCAACGTTTCCGCATTTGGGCATTGCTCAAACCTCACTTGTAGGTGTATCCGTGCTCCCTAACAATGTCCTCTGGGCAGCTGTCACTGGCGCCAGAGCAAAGCTCCTCCAGGTCACACTTGTCCTTGTTCCCGCGGCACACGGCGGTGGCTGGCTTCTTCAGATCCGCGGGGCACAGCTTGCTCACGCCAGTGCAAGCCTCGACCTCGTCGCACGGCCCCGCGGCGTCGCGGCAAGTGGTGCCGCTTGGCTTGAGTGCGTCGGCTGTGCAGTTGGCGCCATCGCCGGGGCACAGGTCGTCTGCGTCGCAGGGGCCGTCGGCGGCACGGCACACGGTTGTTGCAGCCTTGAACGCGTCTGTCGGGCAGGCCGCAGCATCGCCGCTGCAGGTCTCCTCTGTGTCGCAGACGCCCGCAGAGGCGCGGCAGACAGTGGTGGAGGGCTGGAACGCGTCAGCTGTGCAGTTGGCGCTGACGCCGTTGCAGGTGTCGGCCATATCGCAGGGGCCGGCGGAGGGGCGGCAGACAGTGGTTGCAGCCTTGAACGAGTCTGTTGGGCAGCCCGCGGCATCGCCGCTGCACGTCTCCTCTGTGTCGCAGACGCCGGCCGAGGTGCGGCAGACAGTGGTGGAGGGCTTGAACACATCAGCTGTGCAGTTGGCGCTGACGCCGTTGCAGGTGTCGGCCATATCGCAGGGGCCGGCGGAGGGGCGGCAGACAGTGGTTGCAGCCTTGAACGAGTCTGTTGGGCAGCCCGCGGCATCGCCGCTGCACGTCTCCTCTGTGTCGCAGACGCCGGCCGAGGTGCGGCAGACAGTGGTGGAGGGCTTGAACACATCAGCTGTGCAGCCAGCGCTGACGCCGTTGCAGGTGTCGGCCACATCGCAGGGGCCGGCGGAAGGGCGGCAGACAGTGGTTGCGGCCAGGAAGGCATCGGTGGGGCAGGCCGCAGCATCGCCGCTGCAGGTCTCCTCTGTGTCGCAGGGGCCAGATGCGTGTCGGCAGACGGTGCCTGCTGGCTGGAACGCGTCGGCGGGGCAGGCTGAGGACGAGCCGGTGCAGTACTCAGCTGCATCGCACGCCACTC